CCTAAACCAACAACAAACCTCTCAAGCACCGTCTCTCCCACTGCGACTCTAAAGGACCCAGCCACCCACCCGCCGCTCCATGTGGGGTGGTTGTCAAAATTAGGGTCCCTGTTTGGGTACCCTAAATACTAGGTGCCGTATTATGATAGGGATTCAAGAAGGGACCATAATTTTGATAACCGCCCATGAATTTTCCTCAAGATGCCACTGGATTCTGATACAAAGGCCCCTTTGGAGGGAATCCTAAACACCAAGGCCCTTGGAGTGAAGAAAGGGGTCCGAAAACTAAGGGCTCTTACGGTAATGGAGGGATGGAAACATGAAGGCATTCAGAGAGAAGAGAGGGTGGGTCTCTGACCAGGGATCTACATTAACACACAAAGTCCCTGTGCTGAGCGGCTGCCGGCACACGGCGCGCCACCGAGGATTGCCCTGGCTAAGGGACTGTGGGCGCTGAAACACCAAACATGAGCGTTTCAAGATTTCTGATAAACTTCAAGGCTTAGGGTTTCGGTCTTCGTGGTGGAGAATCAGAAATCAAGGCATCTACCTCGTCAGGTCAGGGGCTGGTGTAAAGTTCAGGAATGCCAGGGCCACCCTATGCAACACTTGCCGGGAAGGCTTCTTCGCCACCTCCCGGGTGCGGTAGCTCTGCTCATGTCGTGTGGAGCATACCGTCCACCTGGGCGCAACGACGGTTTAGGGTTGAAGGCTCAGGGCCTTGACTTGTTTGTTTAAATCCTAAACTCCTGAATTTCAATGCGTTCGGCTTCAGGCTTCTCGGGGAGCTTGAGGCTTGGTCTTGAAGGTTAGGCTTGCTCGAATCTGGCGTGTCCCGTGCGAGATGTTCCCAAGATGCAAAAAAGCCTACTTGGATAGGTTCATGGGTAGTTATAGGTGGGGTTTAAGCAGGGTAACCTTCACGGGTAGTTGTAAATGGGACTATAAGAGGGTAATTAAATCTATAACCCATAACTAGAGGACTTAGAACTCCACTTATAACTGCCCATGAACCTCTCCTTGAGAGATCATGAAATAGGAACTGGAACTCGTGCTATCCGAGACCCCTGACCGTTTAAGGCCCAAGAACCCCAAAGCCCGAAACACCTAAACCCTGAACCCTAAACCTCTGCAAGTAAAAAAGCCACCTAGGACTAGTAATCGTGCAAAAACCAGCACAAAGAACCCGACACGCACCCTGAAGCCCTGCCCTACCGCACAACATTATCACCGTATCCGGAACCCTGGCCTCCGGAACCCTAAACCCTAATAACCCCGCACCCGAGACGCCAAACCCGAAAAACCCAAAGCCTAACCTCCCGAACCCCTTAGCCCTACAGTACCCTTATAGTAACCCTTATAGATCCCTTAAAGGAACCCTAAACCGGAAAAGCCCCGCAGATCCGGCATGAAAGCCGGGAGCAAACGAGGACCCCGCTCGTTCCAGTCGGTAAACCTCTGGTTTTTGTGCGGTCGTTTGGTCGGGTTCAAGGCTTGGGGTTGAGGGGATTGAGGGTTTGAGGGCTTATTGTCTGGGGTATTAAGGCTTGTTGCTTGAGTTTAGGGTACAGTGCTTAGGGTTTAGGGTACTAGGGTCTAGGGTAAGGTCTGCATACTTTGCTGCCGCCCAAAAGCTCGCAGTCCCGCGTCTCGGTCGGGCAGTCGGCGGCCAGGCATCCAGCCTGGTTGTCACTCTCCACCTTCGAGCGACCGAAGGGGTTTTGGGGTGCAGGGAGGCTTAGGATTTCTGGTTGGCAAGCTGCTGCAGGGTACATTCACAATTTAGGGTGGTTTAGGGTTTAGGGTCTGGGATTCATTGTTTAGAGTTTAGGAAAATTGGCTTGCCGCAGAATTGCTACCTTTCAACACAAATGCTGTTCTGTAAAGGTCTCGGACTTTGGCCAACGATGGGGCTTAGGGCGGAGGGACCAAGTTGCTGTTTTGAGTTTTGAACACTCCAGACTAGAGGAAAACCAATGCAAGAAACTTTTGAAAAAAATTCTGAAGCCCTGAATCCCTGAACCCCTCAAACGCAGCAATCCCTAGACGCCTATATCCCAAACCTCTAAATGTCGTAACCGTGCCTTGCTCCCGCTGCATGGCTGTCCACACCTTGATCAAGATTCCGAGTTGATGCCGGGAATGTGTGTTCTCGGGCTTCTAGGGAAAGGCTTGGTGCATTTGGCTTTCGTGGTTTCGGAATGTATAGGTTTAGGTTTTGGTTTGCGGATATTTGTGCTAGTAAACAAGACCCTGCTTCATCACGCGGTTGCTATCCGGAGATTGCGTTTCTTCGGTGCCTAGCTTGTCAGCCTTCTGTGTTCTTAGAGCATGCTTCTGCTTCCCCGAAGTATGACTTCACGGACTGTATGATTCATGTTGGCGCCGCGGTGGTTCCGGGGCTCTATGGTAGGGTTCAGGATCTAGGTTGCTATACATGCTTCACCGGATGCTGACATCGTGGACCTGCTAGCCCGGATAGACATCAAGATGTCCCAGCATACACATATGCATATATACAGACATGTATACATACATATATATATATACATACATATATAGGCTGATGTGTACATTGAAGCGCCTCAGACGATGATATCACCAACCTCTTAAGTCCCCCCACTATAGAACACAGGAAAGCCGGTTCAGGTCTAAGCCCCGAGACCAGAAGCCCAAAACGGTGAACTCTGAAGCCTAGGTCCTACATCTGACATCCTAGAGCTCCGAACCCTGAAACCCTAAAGCCCTTGGCCCTGATCCGTCCTGAAGCCTTCAACGCCTAAACGCGGAAACTCTAAAGACTACCGACCGTATGCACACCTTTCCCAAATTCCCAGTCAGAAACAAGCCTCATATACTTCTGCAAGCAGCACAGCTCTCAATACAAACCCAGAAGCCTCCCTGCCACGACTTAGTCTTCTTGATAAGAGGGGCTCTTGTTTGCGGGATCCGAAAAATGGGCATCCCACAACTCGAGGTTGACATTACGGTCCTGTATTCTCTGCAACTGATGCAGCTGGGGAACAGGTTGTTTTCTTTGGCAATGGAGCGGCTCCGCGTGCACAAGCCTGCGATGGGGGGAGGTCGGATGGATAGTTGGATGGCTTCGGGTTTGGGGTTTCGGGCTCAGCATTTGGGGTTTGGGTTTAGGATGTGCCAAGCCTCGTTCCTGTAAAGGATTGCACAAGCCCGGAAAAGGGTTCACAACTGCCCGCCCAGCTGACCTGGAACCCTGAACCACTGAACCCTAAACCTCTAAGATCCGACACACTATCCAAATGAAACCCTAAACCCTGAATCCAGAAACCCTGAACCGTAAACCGAAACCCTAAACTTCCAAAAGCCTAAACCCTCTGACCGCACAACATATCGACCGAGCTAAAGTTACCTGTATAGGACCGTCAATCAAAACCCTTTTGGCAATCCTTGCAGGAACCCTCAAGACAGCGAGTCCTTGCATCAGGCGGGAACGGGTCCCTGTACTAAACCCCGAGAAGAACCCTCATATGAACCCTGAAAAAAGTTGCTGCAGAAACCTTATTCTACTCGCCAAGACCCCTGAAATTGAAGAGGCTCATTCGTCGAAGAAAAACTTGAAGTCGCAAGGCCTGAGCAGTCGCCTTTGGAGGTCCAGTCGGACCAGTCTGCCCACCTGGGTTTAGGGTTCAGGGTTTAGGATTTGTTTTTTCGGTTTAGGGTTTAGGTGAGCATCGGCTATGATGGGTCTGGTAAGGGCTTCGCTTAGGGCAGTTTTTTTTTTGTGGACTCCTTTTTCCTAACTGCTGCTCCAAGCGGCCGTCAGAAAGGCCTACAGGCCAGGAGGGTTGGGCACATACATACCCAACACCGGCTTCAAAGTGGAAAACGAAGGAAGAAAGAAAGCATCCCAAAGGCACCCCTCAGTACAGCAGCTGCAGAATCGTGCCGTACACGGAAGCCAGAGGAGCCCCCCCGGACACTGTGCAAACTCAACCCTCATCACGACGTATCGCTGGCATCCCCCTCACCCTCTCCTCCATGTTGCTCCTCACTCCGACGAACATCGTCATAGGCCGCTGCACCGTCGAAATAGATGTCCCATCTGCGACCCAGCTCCGTGAGGACCGTATCGCCCAGGCGGTGCAGGACTTGTACGCTGGTAATCACGCCATCTCTCCAACGAACAAACAGCGCATCCCACTCCTCCTCGCTTCGCGGGACCCTGAGGGTCAGCAGCTCAGGCGGCCCAGGCAGAGAGGGAGCAGCGGAGCCCGACGTACCCGAGGGGCCAGTCAGCACGGGAGCATGGCCACCTGGAAGAAGTAGTGTGTCCCTGTCCGCTTCCGAGTCACTGACAGCTGCCCCTGCGTTGAGCTCCTCCACGCGTGCGTGCTCGGCGGCCGTGTCCTCAGCCATCATGGCCCATTGTCCCTCGATGAGGTTCAAGACCGAGGAACCATGCAGACGGATCACTTGCTCTGAGGTCACAAGCCCTTGCACCCAATCCTGGTACACTTTCTGGTATTGCTCAAAGTCCAGGAGAACGGCATCGTCAGTCGCCCGGTCCGCCGTGGCGGACACCGGGCCCGGGCAGGGGCCAGGCTGGTCCTCCTCGCCGTCTCGCCGTGTAGGCGCCGGTCCCCCAATCCCTTCGAGTGGTGGCGTCGGTATCTCATCTTGGTCAGGTTCGTCATCACGCCAACAGCGAAGCTGGAGAGCCTCAACCCCGTCTTCACCAACAGGTACACGTAGGCATCGGGTCATGCGAGGCCGATCCGAGCTGCTGGAGGACATCTCAAAGACCATGACGCGGCGGTGCTTGGTCGGAGAGGCAGTCTCTGGGGCGTCCCGTAGACGAAGGAGGTAATCCGTGTGCATGGCCTCGTCCTCGTCGTGCTCCTCAGCCTCAGCCCGGTCCCTCTCCTCGGCCTAATTTTTCTTTTTCATTCGCCTGCAGTTCTTCCAGCCGGGAGTGCTCGTTGCAGCACCAAGAGTCAAACTTCAGTCACGATCGCAATCGATCAAGACTGCGAGGAGCCATCATCGTCATCATCCTCATTGAGCGACAATTGGATTGCCTCCGCCAAGAGGCGGTCTTCCTCCAAGGCCTCCTCAGCAACATCGAATACGTTGACGGCCGCAGCTTCGCTGGGCCATTCGTAGGCCTGCCAAGGTTCCTCCTGCGAAGATGATGCCCCACCTCCCAACACGATCAGACCTCCAAAAGGAGAGGCGGTGGAGCCCGATGGAACTTCAGCATGTGCAACTGCCGTAACATTGTGATCATTGACATTGTGATCATCATGAGCTTCGCTGGGCCATTCGTAGGCCTGCCAAGGTTCCTCCTGCGAAGATGATGCCGCCGTGTGAGTTGTATAAACCTCGGCTCGAATGGTCTTTCCAGACCCTTTTCGCTTCTGTGCACACACAGAGAACTGCAGCGTTCCCAGGATGTGTGCTGCAGCTTCGCTAGGCCATTCGTAGGCCTGACAAGGTTCCTCCTGCGAAGATGATGCCCCACCTCCCAACACGATCAGACCTCCAAAAGGAGAGGCGGTGGAGCCCGATGGAACTTCAGCATGTGCAACTGCCGTAACATTGTGATCATTGACATCGTGATCATGTTGTGTGCTTACCTCCTGCTACCCTCGCAGAGCGTTTTTGCTACGCACCGCCACAAGTTGTTGCAGTCGAGCCAGCTTGCCGCTCACGGAGCTCCAGCATCTGGCCGTAAAAGGTGACCGTGTAGTCACAAAAGGCTAAATGCTGAACCCATGCTTCCAGAAGGCAGCTTTGCTGTACCCATCGGGCGGGAGGGTGGGCCCGAAAGACTTCGTCGTACACACAAAACATGCAGGTCATGTTGTGTGCTTACCTCCTGCTACCCTCGCAGAGCGTTTTTGCTACGCACCGCCACAAGTTGTTGCAGTCGAGCCAGCTTGCCGCTCACGGAGCTCCAGCATCTGGTCGTAAAAGGTGACCGTGCAGTCACAAAAGGCTAAATGCTGAACCCATGCTTCCAGAAGGCAGCTTTGCTGTACCGCCCACCTCGGGGGCCAGCCGAAGATCGGCGAGCTCGCGCTCGCAGGTTGCACCATGTGCCTCGCTGGCGAGTGCGTCGAGGGAGAAGAGCGCCAGCTCAGAGAAACTCGAAGAGAGAACCGGCCGCTCGCACTTTTCGAGCGCAGGTTGCGTCCAGGGACGTAAGGGCAGAAACTGCCCCGACCTCCTGCAAGTAGAACTCAAGGGTCTGAACATGCTTCAGCCTCATCCGCCACTGTATCTCCGGTATAGCGACGCCGCAGCGATAACTGTAAACCGCGCCCCCTCCACGCAAGCCACCAGGAGTGAGCCTGGCGTGAGAGGGAACGCTGAGTGCAGCCATCAGCTTGTTCCAGCGGTAACGGTAGGCAGCGGGAGTCAGAGGATACAGTCGTTGGCCCTTGGGCAGCGAAGCAAAGACCGTCTCCAGGAGCGCGACAGCTTTCGGGTCCTCGATCTTGATGTGCTGAATCCTGGACCTTCGCCTCAGCATCGTCTTGGACGCCCGAAGGCACAAGAAGGCCGCTCGAGAGGAATTCCACCAGTCGTCGCTCGGTAACAGCAGGTCCTGCCTCAGCATAGGCAACACTTCTCCTATGCGGCCTAAGCCGTAGAAGCTCAGAAGCGTAATCCCTGCGAAGTTCCGGAAGCCAGATACGCCACCAGAGCTTTCAGGACCGGTTCCGGCAGAGGAACTCTGTGCTCCACCGGCTCGACGTTTTCCCACCGCGAGACCAGTTCCCACGCGCGGCCGATCCACGGCTTCACTCCAGCAAAGTTCCTTTGAGCGCCCAGCAGAGTGTGCCGCAGCTCGTGGATGCTCTTTCCGGACTTGAAAAGCCAGTTGCCGTAAGCTCGCAGTGCCATGGCGAGGAGCGCGGGCGCCCTAGCAAAGACGACCAGACAAGGCTCAGGCAAGAAAGACTGGACCCAAGACAAGAAGTGCTCCCACCCCAGTTGCCCAAGTCGAAGGGCAGCCTCGCTCTGCAAGGGACGCTGCTCCAAGTCCAGAGTGGAGTCACGGCGGCGGTTCGACCGACGAGGTCCAGGATGAGAAGCTTCACCGATCCTGGCGGTCGGGGTCTTGGAAAGGGCAGCTGACAGAGGAACCCCACGCAAGGTAGGAGCATCGCGCCACCAACCGGCGGCGACTGCAGCAGCGGTGGCGAGCATGTCACACAGAGGCCGAGGATAGCACTGAGCCACGGAAGTCCAGGGCCGACCCAGCTCAGCAGAGCGACCACGAAGCACGACGTGTGGCCCGGAGCATTGGCAAAACAGCCTAGCCCCTGCGATGCAACCATTCACCCCAAACCTGGAACGCTTTCTCCACCTGGTGCCGAACCTGCACTGGTCAAGGCGGAGCAGCTGCGGGCTATGGGGGTCGGCAAACTCTTCGATTAAGCCAGCAAGAAGCCACATGAACGAACCATCGGGCCCCTCGATCCAGAAGTGGCCCTGGCAATGCTCACGGTAAAGAGAAAGAGCATGCCCAACCCAATCGGCCTGCCTGTTGCCACGGCGAACCTTCTCGAACGCTGTCGGGCTGAGGTGCAGCAAGCCTCGGGGATGAGCTGCACTGCGGAAAGGCGGGTGCACAGCACGAGAAAAAGAGGAGCACGGAGGAGAGGCTCCAAACGTAAGGAAAATCTTCGCGCGGATCAACAACTCGACGAGCTGCCGCACGCAGTGGTTGTCGAGATCCTGGCTAGGAGAGCGCGCGATCTCAAAGGAAAGCACCCAAGGCGCACCGCGGGCAATCAGACGGCGAGCCACGCCGGCACTGCCAGAGAAGAGGTCAAGACCACCGCGCCTGCTCAAATCCAAGGGGCCTTTCAAGGGATAGAACTGTTCCCGCGGCAAGCTCCCAAGCACGGATGCGAGCGGGGCTCGGGCGAGACAGATCCACACCACACGCCCGCTTAGCCCTGTTGCGGCGCGGAGGCAAGCGCTCAGGCAGCTCGGGAGGCCGCGACCAAGTGGCTTCCGAGGCGAGCTTGGGAAGCTCATCCACCATCTCAGGCCTGAAAGTCTCGGCTGCGCTCTCCGATGCAAGCTCGGGCTGCTCGGCAAGCCAACGGTCCAAGGGCTGAGGGTCACCCCGTGCAAGCGCAAGGAACCAAGGAGGAAGCGCCTCAGAAGCTGTTCGTATGCTGCGGCAGCGTGTTCCATCGTCGGACGGATTGTCGGCCGACGCAAGAAACGAAAGCCCCAAGTAGAGGTCACTCCCGAACATGGTGGCCAGCGACCGCTTCAACAGCGTGTTCAACCCGGCAGAGGCAGACCTACCCTTAAGCGCAGCCCCTAGAGCAACCTGAGAATCCAATCCCACAAGCAACCTGGCACAACTCACGAGGCGCCCAACCCGACGCTCCAACTCGAGAAGCCCACGCAGCTCCTTGATGTTGATGTGTTGCCCGAGGGCCCCCGGAATGACCCATGTAGTTCTGAACTGAAGGCTTCGGGCCAGGGCGCCACAGAGGATGCGGAGTGTAGGGCCGACCCTCGCGGCTTCATCAAGGAGCCCTTTCGCACGCAGCCAAGCCTGAGGAGCTGACAGAATTCGATTCCAAGCCCCCTTTTGCAAAGTGTGCCGGTAAGCCTCAAGGGCGACCGCTGGAGGAAGCGCAGCCGTGGCGCAAGCAATGCGGTCATCAGACGCGTCTGTGGTGAAGAACGCGTCACACACTTGGGCTCTCAAGTTGGCCACGCAAACCGGAGCAACGAGCACCCAGGACCACAACTCATCCGCGAGGGCCGGGCTGAGCCGAAGCACGTCGCCACAGCGTGTGGCCCGCAGTGCCTGAAAGGCCAAGTCGATGAGGCTCAGGGCCCTCCGCCGTATCAAGAAGATCGCTGTCCAAGACCCGACCAAGCTCTCCAAAAGCGAGCGGGTGACAAGGCCCAAGGCGGCCACCCGAGCAGTCATGAAGGCCACTGGCCAGACCCTGGCAGGGTTGGCTCGCAGAACGCCGGAGTCCCCACAAAGCTTGCAGCCCCAGAAGCTGGCTTCCGCCGCATCTCTCACGCTCTTCTTGGGGTTAGCCTCGAGCAAAGCGGCATCGTAAGCAGCATGCGCGGTATCCAACTTGCGGGCCCCTGCCGAATCGGGCCGGCCAGTCCCAGACCCACGCAGGCAACGATCAAACAACACAAGGTCGTCGATGACAATGCCCACTGAAAGCAGGGATCGCGGTGGAGGCCGGTTTGGCACGAGCAGATCGGACCCCTCAAGAAGACCATAGTGATGGAGAACCGCAATGTGAGATGCCTGAGCGTACTCGCACGCGGAGCAGTCACCCATACCAAGAGTGGAGATGGCAACCCGCACCCTTCTGCCAGCCTCGGCCTCAGCCCTGCAGTCACGACCGAACACAAAACGAGCCTCAGCCAAGGTAAGCGAGCCTCGCAACAAATTGCGTTCGACTCGGTCTGGCGTGACCGCAAAGAGATAAAAATAATCTCTAAGATCCGCACAGGAGATTCTCACGCACTCGTCGGGGCTCAAGCGACGCCGGGTGTCGGCATCAACAAAAGAGGCGGGATTGAAGCGGGGAGGCCCAGGAAAGGTCAGACGGTCAGCCTCAATGGTCTTTGCAGCCACAGGGTCATCACGCCTGAAGGCCCCCACCACTTTGCCGAAATTGGCCGGCGAAGAAAAACTGTGCTGTGCTCCTGCAGCCGCAGACTCTTGAAAGATGGCGCTGGAGACTCTAGAGTACAAAGGCAAGGAAAAAGAAGCAGCGGCCCGAGACAGAGCAGCCAGGAGGTTGTGTTGATCCTCCACCTTAGAGGCAGACCGCCCCATCTCAGCTGCAACAATAGGATCAGAAAAATCGCTGTCCCAGGTAAGGCCCTCGATGGTTCGGACCATCCGCCATTGGTTGGGGCTGAGCTTAGCACCGACTCTGCAACGCTCGGGGCATACACACGGGGAGCCAAGATGAAGCCAGGACAGCAGAACAATGACTAAGCAGGTCTGCACCTTGCGCCATCCCGACACACCGCCAATGCGACGAGAGAAGACCTCAGGGTACGGAGGAGCACAGGGCCACGTCTGGGAACCGTGCGCCGACACATTGACGGCGATGGTCGTGGTGCGCAGGTATGCAGCAAAAGCGCCGTGACCCTTCAAAATCCAGGACGGCAACGAATTCCAAAAGCCGGGCACTTTGACAGACGGCGCGGCTGCGCCGGGAGGAGGCGGCCGACGAAAGCCCTTCTCCTCAGCAGGATTGGCAAAGGAGGGCAGGTTGCGCCCTTCACACACAGAATGCGGAGCCACAGGAGAAACGGAAAAATCAGCCGCCGGTGCGGCCTGCACATCATTCACTTCGGCTCCTCGGTTCGCCTTCTCCCTCCGCCTTTTCCTTTGTCCTTGCCGTCCGGTCGGCTCGCGTCCTTGTCCTCCTCTTCCTGCTGCTGGCCTGCACGGCGGTTCAGCTTCGACCTCTTTTCCAGAAAGTCGCATCTCGTGAGCCTTGAAAGCATGGATCGGGCAAGGGGCCTCCAGCAACAAGTCGTTTGCCAAAGTCCAGGACCCTCGGTCGGTAGCGACCTGATCCATCGCCACCATCAGGACGTTCAGCCTGGCCTCGCACTCGTCGAAAGCTTTGCGGCGGGCAGCGTCCAGCGCTCCTGCCACCGCCCAGCTCGTGCGAGCGAGCGTCTGGTGGGAACCGATACGGCTCCGGTGCTCCAGCCAAGCCCTTGCGCTCGGCGCCACCTCGAACCCGGGCGTTTGAAGGGAATGCAGATCTTCCTTCATCAGGGCCTCCACGGTGGCTGACAGGATGCAAGGATTGTCGACCAAAGCCGCCCTCAAAGCCCGCCGGGCTGCAGCGTTGCGCCGCAAACTTGGCGCGGCCTCCAGCGATCCAGATCCGCCTTGTCCAGCAGCGTCCAGCAGGTTGTCGAGCGAGGAAGGTGCGCGCCGCTTGGGCGCCGAAAGGGTCTCCACCAACTGCGTCAGCTTGACTAAAGCTTCCCCCACCGGATCGGAGCCCTTCACGGGCGCAACGGCCGCCATGGGCTCCTCTGGCTCGCCTTCGCTCTCGGAGAGCGGATCGGCCTTGCGCGGAGGAGCAGCCCGCGCCTTGCGCCCCAGACCGCCAGACTCGCCGACCAATTTGTCCATTTCGGCCAAGGCCGCCCGGCTCACTCCCGCATCCAATGCTGCCTGGGTCACGCTGACATCCAAGTTGGCAAAAGCCCCGGCTTGGCTGCCGGAGGACACGGCTGCTTTGGCTGGCTTCGGCTTTGCAGTGGGAGGGCGGAAAGAAGGCTCTGCCGGCACGGATTGCTTTGCTAGCAAAGCCTTGACACCGACCGCCACTTTGCTCATGGCTGCCTCGAGGCGGTCCACCCTTGCATGAATCCCTCCCTCGCCCGGCTCGTGATCTGCAGGGGCCGCCGACTCGGCCGAAGCATACGGCCCAAGCCCCGGGAGCTCTTGAACGGCTGTCATCAAGGAGGCAGCGTGCGGTAGCAAAGTGACCCCCTGCATGTCTTGCCCAAAGGGTACATCCGGTGCTTCCCCCGATTCGAAGAGGAGTTCGCCAGCCAGCCCGTTCTCGAGCAGAGCGACCCACACTCTCAAAGAAGTGCCCTCTACGACTAAGCCGCGATCGTCTGCGGCCACTGCAGCCACCTCCAAGGAAGAGGCCTTTGTCAGGGCGGAGCGCGGCAGCTTCCGATCGGCCAGTTTGCGGCCCCACATCACTCCTGGAACCGCCACCACGATCTTTCCTTCGCTCTCGCAAACCACAATCACCTCGCATGTTTGCTTCTCACCTTCGGCGGCTGCGAAGGGGAGCAGGCCTGACAAGAAGTCTGGGTCCACCCCTTCAGGCTGCAGAATTGCAAAGTCCTTGGGCTCAAGCGGCAGCCCGTCCAAGGGGTCCTCCTCGGCCATCTCACTCAAAAGAAACAGAAGGGAAGCCTGCTGCAGAGCACACAGCCTCCACGTCGGCTCGGGCAGGCAGCCCTATGAACACACTCGCTCCGCACTCGGAGCCCCTCTTGCACAAGGTCTTCGCCTGAGCGAAGCTGCTGAAAGCACGCGGCGGGCTGAAGTCACGGCCCTCAAAGGACCTGAAGACCACCCAGAACCGCGAAGACTGGGAGAGCCGGTCTCGGCCAGACGCCCCTCTGTGATTCCCTGCCAGGGCTCGCACTATCCACAACCCTATCTCCCGGCAGGCACAATCTCGATCTGTTCTCGGCAGAACAGGAGCAGCAACCTCGGTTCTAAACAAGTGAGGCTCTGCGGGCCCACGGCCCTGCAATGGGTACTCAGGCGACGCGGAGGCCCGCGGCGGTGTGCTAACAGGAGTGGCTGTGTAAGACCCCGCAACTGGAGCCGATTCTGCCACCAACTCAAACTCGTCCGGCTCGACCCCCAAAGCCTCGCGGAGCGCAAGACCAAGGCAAGGCACCTAGGGTGGGCCTAAACCAACCCTAGGGGTGAGGCACAAGGCGGAAGAACCCCGGGCTCTGCAGCCTAAAGGCGAGGGCCCTCAAGCACGCGGCACGGAGAAGAAGCAGAGCCTCAAGAAGAGGCAGAAGGAGAACCCCGCAGCCGAGGCCAAAGAAGAAGGACCCCAAGTCCAGGTCCGGCAGAGCGGGGCAGAGCGGGCAAGGATCGAGGAGCTGAGGCGAGGAGCTCAGGACGTGAGACAAGAGCGACACGACCGACGCAGACGAGACACCTGACAGCGACGACAGCGCTATGTGCCTAGACATGCGCTCGGCCCGAAAGACTTGAGCCATACACAAAACATGCAGGTCATCATGAGCTTCGCTGGGCCATTCGTAGGCCTGCCAAGGTTCCTCCTGCGAAGATGATGCCCCACCTCCCAACACGATCAAACCTCCAAAAGGAGAGGCGGTGGAGCCCGATGGAACTTCAGCATGTGCAACTGCCGTAACATTGTGATCATTGACATTGTGATCATCATGAGCGGCCAGATTTGCCGCCTGGGGGGGAGCTAAATCCTGGAACATCGTGATCATCATGAGCCTCTGTCACATCTTCGGGACCATTCGCTGCATCTGCACCACCGAGCAGTAGCAAGGCAATGCAAAAACGAAGTCCTTGGAAATGCATGGCACACAGGTTGTTGGGCTGGGACTAAGGCACCCGGAGTTCTTGAGCCAAGGTGCGCTTGAGCTTAGGGCAGTTTGGGGTTTAGGCTTTGGGGTTTTGGGTTGAGGGCCTAGGGTTACTAAGTGCTTCTGGCTTATCTATTACTGTGACCACTACTATTATATACTAATACCATTACTACTACTTTTACTACTAGTACTACTACCCGAAGCCTGCAACAACAGCATCAGCCTGTGGGCTGCGAGCAATTTCGGAAAAAAAAAGTAACACTGCAAAAGGAAGGACGAAATAGATGAGTGGTTGTCAACATGATCGTCCCTTTTTTTGGCCCCTACTATAGTACGGCACCTACTATTTAGGGTACCCAAAAAGGTACTCTAATTTTGACAACTACCCACATGGATAATATTATGGCCTGCTCAACATGAAACCGTTGAGTGCTACCTGCTAAATCCTTACACCTGAAACCCTGAAACTCTAAACCCTGAAACCCTAATCCCGAATCTGCTTAGAGCAAGCCCGGTAGGAATACTTACGGCAACAGAACACGTATAGCAACCGTTAAAGCTTATGGTAACCCTCATAGCATCCCCTACAGCACCCTTATTGACAGCCCTTCTGGTAGCTCTGAAGGAAACTCTCGCAATAAACCTTATGGTAACCCTTGCGGCATCCCTTATGTAAGCCCTGAAAGAAACATTGAAAGGAACCCTTAAGGGAACCCTTACAATAACCATTCCAGTAACCCTTACGGGAGCCCTGCTGAAAGCCCTTCGAGGAACCTTTAGTACTAACCCTGCTGGCAAGCCCTTGCAATGACCCTCCATGGTAACCATCATGGAACCCTTCAAGGAACCCTCAGATGAGGGAGCGCCTCCAACAACCGTTCTCTAAAGCCTCATAGAAACTATACTGAACTAGAACCCTAGCAAAAATTGAAATTTTAGCTGTTTCTTAAAGAATTATAATAATAACCAAAATTTTAAAAATATTTCTAAGTACCCCTAAGGAAACCCTTCATGTCTGGGAGGCCCCGGCTGGCAGTCTTCGGGCACGCAGCCCGAGCAGTCGCGGAAGCTCTCGCACTGAGCTTGCTCCCTTGGGCTTCGGGTTTAGGGTTTAGGGTTTGAAATGTACAGTGAACCCCAGAAAGTTGGAACATGGGTTTAGGATGAATAGTGCTAGGATTCCCTCTGCTTTACCATAAGGGCATGAGGATAATGGTGTTCCAACTTTCTGGCTTCTACTGTAGGGTTTGGGGTTTAGGGCTCGGGGTTTAGGGCTGGGGGCTTGGGGCTTGGGGTTTAGGGCTTGGGATTTGCGGTTTGGGTTCAGGGTTTGAAGTTTAGGGCTGTCGGCTGCGAAGAGCTGCCCGCCGCGCGCACATTGTCCCCGGAATTTCAGGCGGGAAGTCAGCTAGCCATTCGTTGTAGGCTGTCGTCATTTGCATCGCCATCGCCCAGAACGGGCCCAGCGCACCCAATGCAGGGGCTTCATAACGGTCATAACGGTTCGTGTAAGGGCTCAAATAAGGATTGCTACGGGGTTACTTGTTTTACAACAGGTCATCAAAGGGGTTGCAGCTGATGGTGAAGGGTTGAAAGCTTTAAGGCTCAAAAGCTTTCGTGTTTGGGGTTTCGGGTTTTGGGCTTTGGGCGTTTTCGCACCCCGGGGGGGGGGGGGGGGGGGGCGGCGCAAATCTTGAAACTTTGGGGCCGAGAATGCTACAAAGTGCCTCGCGTCGGAGTGCCTGAACGATCCGAGACCTCAAGCCCCAAACGCAAACATTGGGGCTGGAATAGATGCCCATACTCTTCCACAGGGCTCCTTACTGTAGCCATGCTCTGATTTACCCCAAAACTTGGTTCGAATTATTGTGGAAGGACCTCAATCCTGCAACTTCGAAGGCCCCGGCTGAGGGGCGTCGGTTTCGGAATTTGGGCTAGCATTGGAGGGCTTTCTGGAGGAAAGCTGCCATGGGCTGCTGAACTCCAAACCTCGACATCGACAGCGAGGTCTGAGACCCGGAAACCTTGAAGCCCTGAACCCAAAGCCTCTGAATCTGAAACAAATGACCTGAAAAAGAAGGGGCATAAACCCAAAACCCAAACAACAAAAACACTTAAGCCGCATGATGAGGCAATATCGCCTCCTATAGACACTGGCTAGCTACCATACTCCTGCAAATAGCAAAGCCCTGTAAAAACCGGAACTCCTGGGCACCCCGGCCGCTGGTAGCCATTGCATTCCAAGGTGGGATGTGAGGAGTTGAGGTTGACTTCCTCGGGCTTTCGGTTTAGACGTTGGCTTGAGTTCCTGCGAGAAACGTCGTCACAGGTTTCCAGAGGGCCCGAAGGTTTTTTTTGCGAGTTGGGGATTTAGGTTAAACGAGTCTAGGACTCCATGGTTGGCTCAGAGCTCAGAGTTTGGGATCTCAAACAAATATATGTGTATATGTACATATCCGTACAGACGCAAGTGTCTATCTATACACATATATATATATATATATACAGACGGGTATAGGTATCTACATACATACATACGTACGTACATACATACCTGCATACACGCAGACAGACATACATATGTATACATAAGTCTATACAGTTTTGTAACGAAAATTTCCATGTGCAACTCTATATATATATATATACTACATATTACATCTGTATGTAGTAGTAGTTACACTTGTATGTACATACACATACAAAATCCATAAGTACATAAGTATACACACAGTATATATATATATATATACATATCACATACTGACTCCTCGCGTGTTTTGCGACAGTTGGTAAGTACTTGTTGCTTCTCTGGTCACCAAAGTTACTAGCATTCGATAAGGGTTCTTTTCACTATCACTGTTCTGCTACATGGCATTTACCACGAATAGGGCAAGGCTTGCTTACTTTGACAACGAAGGGTGAAACGAGTTGTGGGAGCAGTGGCGGCAGTGGTTTTGGCACTGGGCTTGTAGCAGAACTTGTACGAGTAAGAGCAGCAACCCAAGCAGCAGAAGTAGCAGAAGCGGCAGAAGTACAGGAGCGCAAAGCTCGTGTGTGAGCATGCAGTCGGGCCAAGCGGACTTTCCAGGGGATCGACACACGGCGGGTCCTGTTGCGCCGTCTTCTTTTCAAATGTTTATAGAGTAGGTGGAAGCATGCGATGCATCAGCTGCCAGTGATGTGCTTGCTCCTCCCTACTTGCTCCCCCCACCCTAAACCATACACCGAACCCCAGACCGCTTCCAAATCCCTGCATCGGAGAGTCCAGGCAAGCGATGTCCTCGTTGTCGCAGCACCAGACCTTTCCACGCAGGTTTGGCTTTTCAGCTTCGGGCATTTAGGGCTACGATGCGTTGCGGCTTGCAGCTGGAGCTTGCCGTCAGGAACTTGATGGGAAGTCTAGGGTTTACCACACTGCAGGTGCGGCTTAGGGCTCGGGGCCTAGAGTTTGGGGACATGAGCCCAAAACCTGCGGATCCTTCGTGGTTCAGGGCTCAAAGTTTCTGGAAGTCAAAGCCTTGAAGACTCGAGTTTCCGAATATAGGGGATCCTAATATAGTACATTGTGCACGGACGGGTTATTGCAGAGCCGTTGAGAGTCCGAGGGTCAAGCTTTTGCATTGGGGGACCCTAATATTATTGTACCCTATTTAAATAGCAGGATCCGCGCCACCACCGAAACCCTGTCGTTCTGCACCTCAAGACCTCAAAGAAGCTCAAAGTCTCCCTGAGACCATGCCGCTTCGCCTTCTGCGCAAGGCTCCATTTTGGGTAGCGATGGATGGTGCCCTGTGCAGAAGTCACGGAAGTTTATGATTTAGGCTTTAGAGTTATGGGGCTTCGCGTTCCGGGATCATCACCATCATCATTCTTGCTCCGTCCAACAGCTTGTCAACCCTGAAAGGCTCCCTTGCTCAAGGAAGATTCCGTCAAGCTTCGAACTAAGAGATCCTTTCGGAAGGAGTGTTGGAATTAGCTCAAGCCTTCAAGACCGCGAAGGCCTAAATCCCCAAGCAAGGCCCGAATCCTAAACCCCGAACTCGACATCCCGAAAAGAGATTCCTACAAACTACTGTTGAGACCCCCGACACCTAAAGCCAACTTCATCCAGAAACGTAAACCTGCAACCCAAAACCCAAATGTCTCAACGCCCTGAAATCATCCCAGATCCCAGTACCCTAAACCCCAAACCCTGAACCCTGAGACCACGAACCCATATACAAATAGAAAGCATTGGCCCAAAGCCGGTGCCTTGAACCCCCATATGGGAGTTTCCGAAAACTAGGGGTACCTTGTTTGGGGGGCCTTATAATGAGGATCCTACTATTTTGGGTACTATGTTAGGGTCCCCTATTTTCGGAAACTCCCATATCCGAACATTAAACCTGGGCCTGTAACCCTGCAAAGTTGGAACACCGCTATCCCGCAACCGTAAAATCAAACGAAAGGCTTTAGGGCTACCATTTCTTTTATCATAAGGGCTCCTAGAAGGGTTACCATAGCGGATCTATAACGGGTGTTGTTTAGGGTATGGGATGAAAACCCTGGAGCAGTGAGAAGAAACAATAAGCACAGGAACCATCCTTTTCCAGGCTGCACCTCTCTGGCCAATCCCAAGAGCTGAAGCCGAAAGATTCCGCAAGAAAGCTGTCGCGTAAGATGGGTGAGAGTCTATGGCTTCGGGGTTTGGGAATTTGAGCTTCGCGATTTAAAACCTTGAGGGTTAAGGGTTCAGGATGCAGGGCTCAGTTTTGTAGCGACAGCTATCGCTGTGTCGTTCCCACCCATCCTGTTTGTTGTCTCATTCTTCTTCTCAGGTGCAATTCTTCATACACAATCCTACCGTCTTTGAAAAAAGCCCTTCCAGGCCTGGCAATCGTACGGCAGGGTAGTCGTGGTGGTCGTAGTGGTGGTGGTCGTTGTGGTCGTCGTGGTGGTGGTCGTGGTGGTTGTGGTGGTTGTTGTAGTGGTGGTTGGGGCGGCGGTCGT